CCAGAGTAGTCCTTAAATGGTTAACGAGATACTAGAGTCACCAAAACAACTTTAGCGTAATGAAGTAGTTTTGGTGTATAGATCATCTCCCTGCAGTCTTACTGCTCTATTCTCAGCCATTTAGAAGTTAAATCACTTTGTTTATGCAGCCCCAGTCACACCTCCCTGCATATGACTTGCACAGCCTTCCTAAACACTTCCTGTAAAGAGTCATCTAATGTGTATACTTCCTTTGTTGAAAATTCAGTTTGATTTAGAATGTATTATCTCATGCTCTGTTAATAGCTTGCTAGACCCTGCAGGAGCAGTCTGTGTGTGATTAATGTAAGTTACATCTGATTAAAAATGAAACCATTTTGATTTAATGCAGGCTGTGTGAGTCACAGCCAGGGGAGGTGTGGCTAGGGCTGCATAAAAGGGAACAAAAGTGATTTAACACCTAAATAGTAGAGAATTGGGCAGTGAGACTTCAGAGGCATGACCTACACACCCAAACTGCTTCATTAAGCTAAAGTTATTTTGGGAAATATAGTGCCCCTAAAATAACTTTTGTAATAAAAGGATCACTCCAGGCACCCACTGTGTTATGTGTAAAGTATAGGTTAGCTTGAAGTAATATTGGGTGTTCTTTTTTTTTTTTTATTCATCTTAGTTTTTTCTTCCAAAATTTGATTTTTGATACGATTTTTGATCCATTGTGTCTCATCCTCCAAATCTACGGCATTTTATTTTTTCTTCCAAAATTACTGTTTTGTAATGATTGCTATGTTATGATTCTGTGAGTTTTATTTAATCTTTGTACAGAAGAAAGTTGAAAATTGATTGATAATTCACAGAAAGCCCTGCTGTGCTCATAAAGCTCTGTATTTTTGATATACTCAGAAGTGCTATAGAAAGTTATGTGAGCATCCTTAATGATTACTTACTGGTTTGGTGAAAGTTCTTAATAAAAGCTGCAAAGAGTTAGGATTAGCTCCACAATATGGACTTCAAATGCAATTGTTTTTAAATATACTTTTTATTATCTATATAATACATTAAAACTTTCTACTTAAGTGTTCCTTTATGAAGATAATTAATAGTAAATAACGTTTTGTTAACTTGTCCTCCTTAAAATATCAACTTCAGGCACATTGTGCAAAATGGACATGTCTCAAACTTTTCACTAACCTGTATGAGCATCATCTTTTTTTGTCTCCTACATTCTTTCATTGAGATTGATGCCCATGGACCAGCAGGGCTAATGGGAATGGACCTTGACATAGCTAGAAGGCAGCCATATGTATATTAAATGTTTTTGATTGGTAGGAAGTCAGTGTGGGCAGGGATTTTGTAAGTAATATAAAAAACGCTAAGTAATTTTAATTACTTCTCACCTACCTGTTGCTGTCCCTCCCTCTTTTTTCAGGTGGGTTACAGGGGCATTGGTAGTTCTCTTTCTCCCATTTGATCATGGCGGAGGAGGTTGGATAGACAAATTGGGGGATAGGTTGGCTTGGGATGTTGGATAGTTTAAGTTCAGGATGAATAGTTATGTTTAGAGTTGGAATTGGTAGATTGCAGCTCGTAGGTGGCTCTGAACCTGGGGGTGTAGGGGCATCTCGGTACACCTCTACTGTTAGACGATAGTCATGTCATGATTCTGAAAATTGTATTTGAATGGTTTTCATGAATTGATCATTCTTTTACAGTAAGCATGGTTAAAAAGCAAAATAGGGTAAACAAATTAACATCAAAAACCCAGCAGGAATCTAATACTGTCCTCTGTATTACTCGTAAACTGAAAGAGGTGGTTAACAGAAATATCAAAGGACATACATTTTTTCTTTTGCCAATAAAAATACCTATTAGAAAAATAGTTATTGAAGATTAAATACCCATTAGCATTATAGAAGTTATGAGTTAATTAGATAAAAATGGTATGGATCAGGGGAAATTGCTTGTGTTTCTTATTGAAAAATCCAATAAAAATGTAGTTAGTGAGTGAATTTCTGCCAAATTTCCTATTGCAGATGTGAGAATATTTTTTTTAAAATGAGAAATCATTTTTAGATGTTGAACACCCATTTCCTATTCAAAAAATGTTTTTAGTTCTCAGGAAAAAAAGTGGCAATTCCTCTTCTTTTTAAACATTTTGCTAATTTTAATGACATGCTCACATATCGCTCTCCTTCCCCTAACAATACATCACCCAACCCCACTCCCTCCACCATTCTACACTCATTCGCACCTGCTACAGCAGAAGAGGTTCGTGCTCTGCTCCGGTCCTCCCGCCCCACCGCATCTCATCCGCACCTTGTCTCCCTCTTTTGCTCTTCCTCTCACTAAAATCTTCAATCTCTCCCTTTCCTCTGGCACATTTCCCTCTCCCTTCAAACATGCAACTGTAACCCCAATTCTGAAAAAGCCCAGCCTTGACCCCAACTCCCCATCCAACTACCGCCGTATCTCGCTATTGCCATTTGCCACCAAGATCCTCGAGAGAGTTGTGTACATCAGACTGACTGACTTTCTCAAATCCAACGCTCTGCTTGCCCTTCTTCAGTCTGGATTTTGCACTGGTCATTCTGTCGAAATGGCTGTGACCAAAGTATCCAACGATTTAATTGCTGCTAAATCTCGCGGCCATTACTCT